CAGAGCAGGGCTGCAGAGCTCGTGGTCCTTGCCTCCAACACCACCAGAAGACAGCCGGAGGTCTACATATTGGGTACAATTGTTCCACCAGCTGCAAATCCATTTGGCAGAGGGACAATCCATCTCACAACATTTCATCACATCAAGAAAGAGGCTGCATCAACTGTATCAAGTGTCTCACTGAAGTTTAGGTACAGTAATCTGCAGCATTCCCTTGGTATACTAATTACTTTGTAAAAAAAAAAAGTAAGATTGATGCTAAGCCAACAGATCTGTCATTTCTATTTTCCTTTTTTAAAAGTATGGAATAATAGCCTTTCTCTAATCTTCTGTTACTTCCCCTGCATTTTAGGAATACTCAAAAATTAGTCAATGATTCTGAGATTACAAATTACTTAATTTTAACTATAATATTCTCCTTACATCAGTACAAGAAATTATGCTTCTGGCAATCCAGCAACATTTGAACAGACAGTTCAATTATAAACAGATATGGATTAGATTATTTATAGGGCATCATATTTTGGATGGTTGAGATTGTATTTATGTATTTGATAATGGACTAGGGATGACATAATAGCAGTGTTCCAATATTTGAGGGGCTGCCACAAAGAAGAGGGGTGTCAAATCTATTTTCGAAAGCACCAGAAGGCAAGACAAGAAACAATGGATGGAAACTAATCAGAGAGAGAAGTAACCCAAAACTAAGAACAATTAACCAGTGGAATGGCTTGCCTTCAGAAGTTGTCGGTGCTTCATCACTGGAGGCTTCTAAGAAGAGACTGGACAACCATTTGTCTGAAATGGTATGGGGTCTCCTTCTTGAGCAGGGGGTTGAACTAGAAGACCTCCAAGGTAATTTCCAATTATATTATTCTATGTTCTGTATAATCTATTTCCTCCAATGTATACAAGCTTTTACTGTAATTTCATCATCAAATCTCAGCTATTTTAATCCCAGAATAAAAATATATACATTATATCAATTGTGAACTTTGCTTTCAAGAAACAGTATTTTCTTATCATATTTTCTACAGAAATGATAAACATGTCCTACACAGAACCATCTGTTTTGAGAATAAAATCATTGATAACATTTCTATTACATTCCATTTGTATTTAATAGAATACTGTCACCAGTTATGGGCTTTCTGATATTCAATTAGCTAACATTGAACTAAATGCTTAAATCATTCTTAGCATGGAAATGGAATGCTACTGCTTGGATACCAACATTGACTTGTGATGAGATGGATGGCAAACAAATTTAATAAATAACTAAATTTGATAAATGAATAAATATACATTCTCAAGAAATCAATTAACTGCATCCCTTTTTATAAGGTCTGCACATGGTACTGAAACAATATTGTTTGATGTTGCAGCTGACATATGGTGGGACATTGATGGGAATTTTTCACACTCTTAGTCCTGCTACATCTCACAGCAGCTAAAGACAGGACCATTTTATTATTTGGGTCACTTGAGAGAGTTGATTAAGGGCACTGTTTGGCAGTGGTTCTGTCCCTTGTTGAGGGGACAAACTTGTATGGTATTAGTGGAGGAAACTGAATCTTTGGGTAGTGTGGTATGATGTACCTCCGGGTACAGTTTCTCCATTTCTTTTAAACACCTACATAAAGCTGTTGTGAGATCATCATTTTGGGATTTTATGTCATGATGATGATGATGAATCTCAATCCTAAACCAAACAGGAGATGCAGTCTTGACCGAGTGCGTACAGGCAGTGTATGTCAGCCCTACAAGGTAGACCAGGCCAAGAAACTGGTGCCACATAAACCTAAAACTACTTTCATTGAGATTAACTACCACAACAGAATTTTGCAAGTCTGAATATGCTTGTCCTCCTCCTCCTTTTACTTATTGTGTGAGTTAGGATGGTGCCTATCTAAGATGTTTTTTATACCCCTCCTCCTCCATCTGGCCTTCTGCAATATTTATTTGCTTGTTACTTTGGTAATAAATCTTCTTCGGTGGATGTTTTCTTTAATGTACGACTGAACGAAGTTGAACAGATTCATACTTAATCCTAACAAAATGAAACTGACTTTGTTACAAAGTTGTTCTATATTCATGATTGTTCCATTTACTGCTTTCAAAGATGTGGTAGTGCTGCCAAAGAGCAGACATGCAATCTGAGGATTCTCCTTGACATATGATTCCTGATAGAAGAGCAGGTGGAGGCTGCGGTCAGAAAGCCTGGTTATCTGACAACATTCACCTGATGATTAATATTTTGATGTAACAGAAATTGGAATCAGCTATATTAGTTTTGAAAAAATCTTTGATATTTTTCATATTACTTTTATGAAGAATGGCCTGCCCTAAAAGGTTATGGTTTTCCATCATATTTTTTTCACTATATTACAATTTTATATCTTCATGAAGCAGTTAAAGTTATTTTGAATTGATTTGTCTCAACTTATCAAATTTAATTTAATTTAATTTCCAATTTATATACCGCCCTTCTCCCTGAGGACTCAGGGCGGTGTACAGCCAAAATAAGAACATAGAATACAAATATTAAAAACAGTTAAAAATATGTATAAATTTGGCCCAGAAATTAAGAAATCACAAACCAATTAAAAGAATTTAAAAAATTTCTTCTTAAACCAGCCCAGCTTGCTGGAAAAGATGGGTTTTAAGGGCACGACGGAAGGCACTGAGGTCATGGATTCTCCTTATCTCAGGCAACTGATTCCAGAAGGTAGGAGCCCCCACAGAGAAGGCCCTCCCCCATTATATAAATGTTTTCCAACCTCAGCATCTTTAAGATGCGTGGACTTCAACTCCCAAATTCTCCTGTCAACAATTCCCAACCAGCTGACTGGGGAATTCTGTGGAATGAAAAACTGGAATACTATATCCACTTCTGGAGAATCAGTGATTCCAGTTGTTAAGAAACAAAAAAAATATGATTTAAAATGAAATTATTTCATCAGATGAAATAACTAGGCCCTTTAGGAGGTTTAAAATGGAAGAAAATGCAGTTTTATTGATTTCAACATGTCAGCAAAATTTTTGGGAAGAAACGTTATTAAGGATCTTAATGAGAAATGGAACTGTATTTCTGAAACATGGATTTTGTCATTTCAGACAGAACTTTGGCTATATTGAGGCTGGAAAAGAGGATAATTTTATGAAACTGTAAATAAGGATTTTAAGGAATACATCTATATATAAGACTGTTATCTATTTTGAAAAGCCTATATTCCAAAAATGAGAAGATGAAAATATATTTCTATGTGGTCTAGGTTAATTATTAGTTTAAGGACAAAATTAATTTTGCATTATTACCTATGTTTTGCCCCTTTTTAAGATTTTCTTTCTTTACAGCATAACCACTCTTTTCCTCATCTCTGCTTTTTTAATGTTTGTGCTGTACCTTTTTGTTATTTTACTATCTATGTGTGCTTTTTTTTTCTAGAGCCTTTGGACAGTTCTGGATGGACTACCAGCTGTGACTTTTCCAGATGAAAAGACAATGAGGTTAATGACTCTAACTCTTGTTGTCCCAAAGCTAGACAGTGGTAATTTGGTCTACGCGAAACTGCTTTTGAAAATGATCTATAATCTGCAGCTGATACAAAATGCAGCTGCTTCCCTATTAAACAGTATTTACTGATTTAATACGGGGGAAAAAAACCCTCATCCTAGAAGTGCTGATTACTAGCAGGCTTTGGATTTGATTCAAAATCTATTAACTATGAAATCCTATATGATTTAATCTCTTGTAAATTTCAAACAATGTGTTCTGGTGAAATATACCTACTCAATGGGTGGGGCACTATGAGTATCCCTCTCCTGAGAGATTAAGGGGACAGGCGCCCATAAAATGGCTTTCCCAGTAGTACTATCCTCATTCTAGAATACAGTACATCTGCCTCCTGAGATCAGAATGTCACTTTCCCCTTTTGACATTTAGGAAAGAGTGAAAAAGCAAATCTGGGAATTATTGCTCTGCTTTTTTAAGCCTGGAAATAAGTATTTCGACTCCGTTATTTTCAATGTGAAGTTAACTAAATATACTTTTGACTGGAACATCAGTAGCATTTCGGATATGTGTTAAAGGCAGTAATTTCGATTTAACTGCTTCCATATCTCACAAAAAAAATACTTTTAGCAAGTTGTCAGAAAAAGTATGTGTTATGTTATGTTTTATGTTACAACACATAAAAAAGTAAAGAATTTAATTCTCTGTGAAGCAGTACTCTTCAAAACAGGGCAATCCCATTAAGTGTTTTGGCTTAGATTTCCCAAGCAAGTTTTCTCAGACGGTGCAATAAGTGGACAATTAAAACAGATGAAATATACTCAAGCCCATATTATTTTTATGCTCCGTTTGGCATTTCAATATACATGCAAACTTTTAAATATGCTGTAATATCATTTGCATTGTCCATTTTAAGAATAGATTAATCAACTATGGGATCACTTAAGAACAAAAGTGCTTCTATCGTTGGCATTTTTTGAGATGTCAGACTAAAAGTACGAATAGCAGCCGATTCTTTCGAATAAGTAAACGCCTAAAACAGATACGAGATTTTCACCGTGTAAGCAGAAGGTTGAAGCAGCCCTTCCTCTTAACCGGAAGAGCCTGTTAGCTTGCTTTTATTTCTCTTTTTTTCCGCCACGTCGCTCCCGACAGATCGAGAAAAACACCTTAGCAGAAAACACGGTGGAGAGGAATAACGTCACCCAACTCTCCCTGTCCCTGCCTGCCCAGATTACACCGTTCAGGCCCTCCTTGCCGTTCGGAGGGAGAAAAGGGGCCCTTCCCCGCTCCAAGATTTTAAGGCCACTCGCCGCCCTCAACCCGGCTCACCTCTCCCTGAAGAAACGATCCAGCCCCACTGTGGGGCGTGGTTGACCAAGTGCAGACCAGGCTCGGCTACGCCATGGCGACCACCTCAGCCGCCCAAACCTGACCCGGCTGCTCCTTCCCCTCAGCTTCCGCCGCCTGCCTCGCTTGTTGTCACTGCGAGAGAAACAGGGGATGGGCTCAGGGCCGGAAGTTGTGGTGGAGGAAGCTCCGCCCACCGCTTGCGCCGCCAACGGTAGTTTCGGTGTCAGGGGAGCTTGACTGGTCTGTTCAGGTGGTCGGCTCTGGAGTGAGGCGGCCGGGGAGCCGCTGGTGGCTGTTATGGATGCGTTCCATTCCCCCAGGCGAGCGTTCCTCAGGAGTGCCTCAGCTGAAGCTTTCAGACCGAAGACGCTGCAACTTCCCTTTCGGTTTTGGCCTCTCCTTTGATCTCGAAGGCTGACTTCACCCGTTGCAATATAGGGCATAGTTTTAGCTTACTGTGTGGTGGCTTAGTACAGGGGTCTCCAACCTTGGCAACTTTAAGCCTGGCGGACTTCAACTCCCAGAATTCCCCAGCTAGCAAAAAATGCGAGTTATGATTTTCACACTTATGGCCATTGCCGCATCCTCATGGTCACGTGATCAGAATTCGGAAGCTTGGCAACTGGTTCATATTTATGACCCTTGCAGTGTCCCGGGAGTTATGTGATCACCTTTTGCAACCTTGTGACAAGCAAGATCAATGGGTAAGCCAGATTCACTTAACAAGCAGGTTACTAACTTAACAACTGCAGTGATTCACTTAACTGTGGCAAGAAAGGTCGTAAAATGGGGTGAAACTTAACTGCCTCGCTTAGCAACATAAATATTGCTTAGCAACATAAATATTGGGCTCAATTGTCGTAAGTTGAGACTACCAGTACTTTATTTAATAAACAGCAATGTATAAATTGTGGGCATCCAAAGGAACGGGGTGAGCAAATTATATATGCTTAATTACCTCATCACACACATTATCTGTTTACATACTGTATACACCATCATGAAATTACATAAACATACTTTACAGAGTTATCATTACTCGTATCGGCTGCTGCCACTTGTTGCAGAAATTGCTGATACAAAACTGATTTATATATTCTCTGATTCTGAAGATCAGCATGAGAACTGATGTACTATAATAAGAGTTATGAGAAGATTCAGGTTTTGTGGATCATGGATGTAAAGTCCAAGATGCATAAACATCTTGGCATTTAAAAGACTTAACGGTTACTTCTCAATATAATCTTTTGTTTTAGTATTTTTGAGGAGACTGCTTATTTTAGCATGTACTGTAAGAAAGATTCCTGCTTCATCCTAGTGGTGACATTGACAACAAACAAGGTTACCATAGACTCAGATACTTTTTCAACCATAGCTGAATTACTCTACTGTCAAGTGCTCTAATCTGTAAGCAAGTTCTGAAGAAAGTAATGCTCCAGGTAAATTATTCCTGTTTCTCATGTGCATGCCTGAATCCTGGAAGGGATCACATGATCCATTTCATTTTAGATCTAATTAATTCCCTATAATTGTAGAATCTTGCTCCAAGAAATAATTTTGAAGACAAGGAATCATCGAATACAGTTGGATAGAAACAGCCTCTTCAAAAGACAGCATATTACCATTTCTTTTGAGGCTAGTGGCATTTCACCCTCCCTAAGAGAAAAAATTATCTCCTGACTCCCAGCGACATGCATCCACAACCACCCCAAGGAGCCAGGTTATACATATTTATTCCTATTATAAGTAAAATTCATGTATGAAAGACAGAATACTTGGTAGAGTACATCATAGAATATTGTTGGAACAAATATCCAATTGAAATAGATCAGGCATTGAAAATTTTGTCAATCCCCATCACAACTACTTTTCTATATTCAGATTTGAACTCACTTTGTAAAGGATTTGGAGAAATTATCACAAATTTATAGAACAGCAATGAGGGTTAGAACTATAATGAAGACTACAAATTAAATTCTATGAGGAGACATTAATGGAGCTAGATACTTACAACCTTGTGAAAGCTGAAGCACTACTGTATATTATAGCACTTTTCTATTAAACTCCATAGAAGAGGATATGGATTTAAGTTACAAAAAGATATATTTCAACTGAATGTTAGGAAAACCTTCCTCACAAGTAAAAACATGGTGGGGTCTGGAAAGTTGAGAGTTACTCTGTGATGTTTTCTAATCCAACCAGTACCCAACCTGTCCAATCTTTGCCTTTTGTTAATATGAAGGCTAGACGGTCTGAGAGAATTGAAACTGAATTAAGTTTCAATTGAATCAATCCCTACATTAAGGTCTAAACTCAATAACTTGAATGGCCCCTTCCAATTTTAATTCCTTGGAATATTTCTCTATTTGACACTGCAGTTTGTTACCTTTGTCTTCAGCTTAGTAGCTGCTGCCCTTTTCTTCCACCAGATCTAATAAAAAGGACTTCTGGATAAAATTACCCATTTATTAAATTGATCAAGATTAAATATTTTTTAAAAAATGAACTAGCTTTCTTACATTTGAGTTATACATCATTATCTTTCTAGAATCCAAAAAAGTTTCATATATACATAAAGTTTCATATGTACTGTACATTTAAAAATTTGTAAGTCATCTCTGCCACAAAATATTCTGATATATTAACACTTCCTTTAATTTCTAGTTATTTTCATTAGAATTCATATATTTATCATGAATTCAGTGATCAGTAATAACAATATATACAATACATTTGTATACTCATGTACACAAATAAGTATACACACATAATCAGTTCATAAATATTGGTTCTTCTAGGACACAGCACCAGCTTACAACATATTGTCACTACAATGGACAATCTATACAACACTCATATGGAAGTAATCTATTTAAATATCAAATTTTTCTTCACATATGCTATGTCCATTTTCTTCATAGTCTTCTCTTGTTACTACCATATCTTCGAAATCATCATTTTCAGAAATCAACTTTCCACCTTCCCAGGAATAAGTAATAGGACTGAAAATAAATAAAACAGCCTTTTAAAAAGCAAGCTATATAAAATTATGAATTAATATTAGTTTACATTAACCATACTAGGAAACATTACTTATATAATGCATGTACAATGAATGTACTGAAGACCAAGTTGGTTATGATTAATTCAATTCCACAGGGGAAATGAATGGAATGATTACAAGTTATGCCTACCCATGTGAGGAGATAAAACCAGAAAATCAGAGCAAGCATATGAAATTGTGTACCTTGATGGAATATTTATTAAATGGATGGAGAAGTTTTAACTTACATATTTGCTTAGAAATGTCATGAACAAGACAAGGTTTGTAGTGAGGGATGAATCTTTGTTGGAAGAAACAAAAATGGATGTATGTGTGCTTTTTCCAACTTCATAAACTTTCAATGGCGTGGGAATGATTTATTTTAAATGTATTTGTGGGCTCCTCTTTATTGGAAAGGTGTGAGGTGCCTCAGATATTTTCTAATCTAACCTTTGCCCAAGACACAAATCCTTTTATCATCGTGGGCAAATGGCTATCCAAACTTTACCTTTTGTTAACATGAAGGCTAGACAGTCTGAGATAAATGAAACTGGATTGCTAAGTATGGTTTAAACTCAATAACTTGAATGGTACCTTCCAATTTTGATTCTTGGACTATTTCTGTATTAAAACATTTGACACTACAGTTTAATACCTTTGCCTTCAAAGACAAAGTGTCAAGTATAAATGAATACAAAGTGAGTCATCAATATGAAAGAAGTAGGTTGGGGGTCCTTGGTTTATTTACGAAATATCAATGAAGACGTAGTCACAATAGAAAAATAGGAACCTCTTGCCACAGGATGTAAGAACCGCCTTCTCTTAGTTTTCAGTAAAAGCCTTAAAACCTGGCTATGACAGCTAGCATAGAGTCCTGAAGGAGAAGCTATTGGTGGAGGTGGTTGGTGCATTAATAGAGAATTACCTCCATCTCTTCCCTTCAAAGCCTTGGTTTTTTTAAGCTTATTTTAGTTTTTGTAATGTTATTCTTTTATTTATAATTATCAGATGTTTATGTTTTATCTTGTCAACTCTCAGAGTTGCCAATAGGACAGGAAGGCATATAGAAATGTAAGGAATAATTTCAGTTTTTCTTTCCTTTTCTATTATATTCTACTTTAATGTTTTGCCCACTACTTCTACTTCTTTTTTATAGGTAGCATAACACTGTTTACACCTAAAGGAATAATATGGTGAGTACATATATATATCTAGCCAACAATGCCAGAAAGAACCAGAATACATTCATTCCTAAATTATGGGCCTGGTGGCTCAGCAGACTGATAGCATTGCGATTAACACCAGCTGTCTGCAATTACTGTAAGTTCGAATCTCACCAGAGTCAAGGTTGACTCAGCCTTCCATCCTTTCTAAGGTAGGTAAATTGAGGACCCAGTTTGTGGGGGCAATAAGCTGACTTTGTATAAATATACAAAAGTATGAAGGCTATTGCTTAACACATTGTAAGCCGCCCTGAGTCTCCGGAGAAGGGCGGCATATAAATCAAATTTTTTAAAAAAAAATTAAAAAATTTAATATAAAAATTGAAAAATTATATTTTAAAATTAAACTCTATTTGTAAATTGAAGACTACTTACTTCTCTGGTAGTACAACTGAAACTTCATAATCTGTTGGAGTGAGGCATCGAACCTCAGAATAAACACGATCTCTAAAGCCAGGGAACAGAGAATTCCCACCTGTTAAAACAATATTCTTGAAGAAATGAGGCTGCATTTCTGTGGAAAAATCAGATTAATATAATTTAATATTCTAAATTAATTTGTTTGGTTTTATGGCAAAAGAAAAAGCAATTGCCAGTTTAAATTTGCCTCAGAGATAGAAATAATTCAGATTTGTCTTTTTAAAAGTCTTCAAAAAAGTCTTCAAAAAAAGTCTTCAAAAAAAAGAACACAAGTCATGGGTCAGGACGTGGATTCACCTCCCTGTATTAATCTCTGCACAAGAACTGGAGGTCGTCCATGACTTTGTGTACCTCAGCTCAACTATCTCTGACACTCTCTCTTTAGATACTGAGCTGAATAAACGTATTGGTAAAGCGGCCACCACATTTTCCAGATTTACAAAGAGAGTATGGCTTAATAAGAAGCTGATGGAACATACAAAGATCCAGGTCTATAGAGCCTGTGTTCTAAGCACACTCTGATACTGCAGTGAGTCTTGGACCCTCTACGCACGGCAGGAGAGAAAGTTGAACACCTTTCATATGCGCTGTCTCCAATGAATTCTTGGCACCACCTGGCAGGACAAAGTTCCAAACAGCGCAGTCTTGGAACGTGCTGGAATTTCTAGCATGTATACACTATTGAAACAGCGACGTCTATGCTGGCTGGGGCATGTGAGAATAGATGGTCGGATTCCGAAAGATCTCCTGTATGGAGAATTAGTGCAGGGAAAGCGCCTCAGAGGGAGACCACAGCTGCAATATAAGGATATCTGCAAGAGGGACCTAAAGGCCCTGGGAATGGACATTAACAACTGGGAAACCTTGACCTCCGATCGTTCAGCTTGGAGGCTAAAGACGCAGCATGGCCTTCTCCAATTCGAAGAGACACTTGTTCGGCAGTCCCGGAACCAGCGAAATCTGGGGGCTGGGCAGGGGACAGAATGTATCTGCCCTCAGTGTGGAAGGGATTGCCACTCTCGAATTGGCCTTTTTAGTCACACTAGATGCTGTTTTAGGACCTCTTTCCAGAGCATGATACCATACTCTTGAGACTGAAGGACGCCAATGTCTTTTTAAAAAATAGTAATAACTGGGATTATTGCTGATATTATGGAATTCTGTAAGTGTAACAGGAACAGATATGGTCCTCCTGCTAAAAGGTCTTAACCTGAGCATAACTAATCCAGACGCCTGTCATTCCCTTAATAGCAGCCACCTGATAGAATTAAGACTGTGTTGTTAACCTGGAATAAATACATGAAGGCACTCCTACCATCATCTTAATATTTATGTATTTTACAAACATAATTGCTTATTTCCACAAAAGGCTAAAGCCTCTATTTCACAATACTTGATATCTTTAATTTACTTTTGTTCAGCATTCTTAATAGCGCAGAGGTAATGACAGCAATTTTACAATATCACATTAATACTAACAATGGTTTCCTATGTAATGTGTCATTATATTTTAACTAGATATTTAATCATTTTTAATGTTTTTATTAAATTTGATACCAGAGAAATCAGAACAGGAATTCTTGTATACCAGAAGCTATGTTTATAGAGTAAAATATATTGATTTCTAAATTTATCTACTGTAAATTTTATAGATGTAGTATCCTTAATATAAATGCAGGTAGTCTTAGGGCAGTGTTTCCCAAAGTGTGGTACGCGTACCCCCAGGGGTACAGTAAGAGTTTGGTGGGGGTACGCGTTGCACCAGAGTTTGGTGGGGATCACGTGGGAATATCCACTGCACCGTGCTTAGCTGCGCCCACAGAACAAGGAAAGAAATAGGCGCGTATCGCAGTTTTTACACGGGAACTGGGGCCATCGTACATCGTATCGCAACTCATTATGGCGGGAACTTCTGCACATCCTTCGCGCAGCTCGGGTTCGGCCATTTTTAAACTGCGGGAACATTAACAGTTAACGTTGAGCCGCGGAGCTGTTTAAACGCCGGAGAATTACAGTGTTATCTAAGTATTTCCCAAAGTGTGGTATGCGTACCCCCAGGGGCACCATATGTTTTTTATGAGGGGTACTCAGCGTTACGAAAATTATAGAAGGGGTACAGATATGTCAAAAGTTTGGGAAACACTGTCTTAGGGTTACGATGACAATTGGGACCGGAATTTCTGTAACTAAGCGATGCAGTCGAAAAGTGTGATGTCACATAACCACATAGCTTAGACCATTGACGTTGTTAAGTGAGGACTGCAGATCATTAAGTGAGAGCCTCCTTGCAACTTCCTGCCAGTTTCCAATAAGTAAAGTCAATAGGGAAGTTAGCAGAAAGTTGCAAGTCCCAGGTGGATCACAAGTAGGCTGACAGGTAACTGGTTACAGTGGGATACAGGAAAAATGCATGGGTGGCTGTCATGCAGTCTGAGGGATGGCTGCTGCCTAGTGGAGGAATGTGCACAAATGGCTGTTGAAGGTGGCATGAACATAGTAGGGACTGGCTGTGGCTGCAGCCAAGTGTGTGAGGACGCTTGAGTGATTGTCAAGGCATAGCACAAATATGGCAAGGCCAGGGTTGGCTGCTGTTGAATGAATCAGCAACCATTGTTGAATGTGGTGCTGCAGGGGGAAAACTGTGTGTGAGGGTGTGTTGATGGTGGTTGGGAGGCGTGTGTTCAGGTACCACAGTAAGGCTCCTCAGAAGAAAAAGCCACTGGAATGTGAATGACTTGCGATTTTTCCTGCAAGCTTCCCCATTGATTTGTGTGTGGGAACCCGATAGGGAAGGTCACAAATAGCAATCACGTGTTGTGGGATGCTGCAACTGTTGTAGTGTGAGCTGGTTACCAAGCATCCAGTTCATGACTGCATGATCATAGGGTTCCTGGGACAGTCGGAATCTTGAGGACCGGTTCAAAGTATTACTTTTTGGTGCCATTTTAACTTCAAATGGCCACTGAACGAGTGATCATTGATTGAGAACTACATGTAATTATTGCAAATATTAATATTAAAATAGTTGTAGACAATGAAGCCATTGCCTTTAAAACTGTAAGCTATTTAAGCAAAATAAAATGTTTTGTTGTGCAATATACTTCACGGATCCTTGAGAATGCAACACCATTTTAATAAATGTACCTTCTGGCAAATTCTGAATTGAATAAACAATGGCTTCTGGAATTCCCATTTCTTGAATGCCAATATCCGAAGGATGGAAGAGTATTTCTGGAACTGCAAATCGCTCATTTGTAAGACGAAGTATTTGTTCACCAGTTTTGTACTTTCCACTTAATACCATTTCTTCTCTTGGCTACATCAAACAATTATAAAACACATAGTGGTAAAGTCTATATTTTTCATTAAGTGTTATTCGAACATTATATTTAATATGCAAACACAACATATAACAAATTGACAAATGTTTGTCATTTACTTGCACACACTGAAAACTTTAAACACAGTTATAGTGATTTTATTACCTTACAAAATCCTTTTTTTATTGTGCTGAAGTCTGGTAAAACATAGTCCAACATCACTGTATTCTCTTCTTTTAACCTGGAACAGAATTCATTGAGAATGCATTAAGTAATTTCTTAAAGTTTCTCAAAACAATTTATTCCACAGCAATTTTTATATTTTAATATAATGTATAACTTGAATATTCTTGAAGAATGAAATGGGCTTTTAAAATAATTATTAGGTAAATGCTGGAGGTAGAAAAAATGTGTAGCACATCCTTGATCTTGAATATCATTATTTCTTCTATTTAAAATATTAGGTCACCTTTATGGGCAAAAATGTCTATTTAAAGTGGACTAGAAAATGACATCTCTCTTCTTCCATTGGTCAGATCACAAACTGAAATCCTAATCAAAGGTCTTCTCAAAGATCTTTGTCTCTCCTTCCAGATTTGTATGATGGGGCACAGAAGATAAAATAATTCCATACATGCTCAAAAGAATATCTTTTTAATTACAAAAATGTCAGCCTAACTAGGTGGCATGCTTTTTTAGGATCAAGCCCTATAAATTTCTAAACTTTAATAAAATAAGCAACACTTAACTAATATATTTAAAAAGACCATACTTTGCAATCTCCATATCCTTGAAAAAGTCTTGTGAAACATAACATACATCTTCTTTCACTTGATTAATCACATGAGTTTCATCCATAACATGGAGCTGCCTAGAAAAATTACATGAAATTTTTAAAAAGTTATTTATTCTGTTTGCTTTGCCAGTTTATTTTAAGTGTTGAAGGAAATTTACTTAACTTTGTATTTCATAGTCCACTGCAAGATTATGGAAAAGAACATTTAATGTTCTACAAATTTAGGTATGCTACTAAATTTAATGTAAATTGAGGAATTAAAATCAGAATCATTACAGTAAGTTCTAGTTAAAAATTTGTTGGGCAACACTGCTAAACTTCATAGCTCCTTGAATCTGAAGGATATGGCATTTCCTTTCCAAGATTGCTCCAATGAGTTAATAGGTAGATAATCAGAGCTTGAAACAGTTTTAGAAGTCATCTGTTCCAATCTCCTGCTCAGGGCTGTATCTCCTTTCTTATAATTTTAACTATTGGTTTTGGTTTTGCTCTTAGGAACAGGAGAAAATAAGTCCCACATTTCCTTCTATGTAAGATCTTCATATATTTGAAGACTGCTATCTTTTTGGAAGACTAAACATAACCAGATAATTTAACTCCTTCTCAGGCTTGCTTTGCATACTCCCCCCCTGGATTTACTTTGCCACTGTCCATTTTTGATATGTAGTGACTACGTTTGAATAGAGTTTTGTAAATGGGACTTGATTTGTGCAGAATAGAACAACTACTCCCATGATCTGGACTTTTCTCCCATTTAATGTACATGCTATCCTTGTTAGCAAACAAATTGAGACTGGCAACTTGGTTATAAGTGATCACTAAGCAAAATCATTACTGTGCTAATGATCTTATTTCAGCTTTCCTTAACTTTATAGACCTGTGAAGGTCATAGTGTGAGATTGGTCATAAAGTTATTTTTTATCACCCTTGTAACCAGAATGGTTGCTACATGAGGCAGTTACTAAATGAGGACTATATACTTTAAGATAGCATTTGCCTTTTTAGTAACTGCACTGCATTCCTGGTTTATGTTTAACTAGTGGTTAATAACAACAACAGAAGAGAATCTTTGTCACATGTATTATGGCAAAGACAAGTCTCCTCCAACCTATATTTGTGCTGTACATTTTTTCCTACCAAGATGCAGAACTTTATACTTCTCCCTGTTAATTTCAATCTTATTAATTGTAGTCCACTTCTCAAGATTTTCTAGATCTTTGGATATTTTCATTCAGTCAATTATCTATCTAACACCAAAATCACCTAGCCTATATTTTACTATTTCATTAAAGAGAATATCTTGAGACATTTTGTCAAAGTTTTGTTGAGGTCCAGATACATACAGTATGACCACAGTATCCCTCTGATTAATTTAAGTAGCAATTCTCCCAAAGATGATAAGCTTAATCTAACATGATTTGTTTGATGATGGGGTTCAATAGGGTACTTTTGTAGAGTCAAAATAAATGCTTTACCTGTAAGAGATTATTTCCTTTAAATGATTGGTTAAGAGTTTTCCTCCAACATTAATTCTGGAAATTAAAAACAAAGCTTGAAATTTTCATATATTTTTAAAATAAAATTTCTTTTTTTATGAATGCTTAAATGTTTTACCTTATTATTGCTTCTTTCTTCTTTTTACTTCTACAGTAAGGCACAATGTGTGTAAAAGAATATCCACTGTCCACAATAATACAGCACAATTCTGATGGGTTATCTCGGAAATATCTATGGGCACTAAGAGCTCCAGCTGAAATATAATATGCCATATTATAGCTATTTTTATTAGCAGACTGACATCATAATTTTTAAATGTGTTGAATCAATGTCAGGATGAAGAGCACCATACATTTTCTGGACAGTGAACAATGTCACTCACCATTTACTCTGAGAACTGCTTGGAATTGGTATTCTTCAAATAATATTTCATTCATAGACTCTTGAATTGAGCTAAAGTTGAAATAAGGTTCTGTGATGATTATGTTAGTATCAACAAAATCTACCTGTAAAGGAAAACATTTTAAGAACTGGAAGTAGTTTTAAAATAAAACTTGAGACATAACAACTTTCTGATATTAATTCAAAATCCATATTAAAGCTATATTTTATTTTTAAATTGACCCACATAGTCCCACTAAGTTACTGTTCTGAGCAAGTTTTAGATTGTATCTAGGATTTTCCCAAAATTGCTGAATAAAA